GTTGATCGAATCTAATTTTGAGTAAAATTATTGTTAGAACATTTGTAAAAGAAATATAAATATATATATTTATAATATTATATATCGTAACAATATATATTTTAATAAAATCAGAGGTCTAGATAAAAATTTAGCATACACAGGGGACAAATGGCTAGAAACAATTATGTGTGGTAATCCTAGCATAATTATTATACAGTGGTTTTTCAACTTATTTCTATTCGTTGTAAAATGTGTGGAAATTATTTTATTACAGCACAAGCATACCGAGAATACACAAAGTTTAATAAAAATGTTCTATATTTTTAATTAATTCTTAGAATCCACTGAAATTCTACGACATTATATTTCAGATTGTGACAAAAAATTCATTATTTTACAAAAAAATGTTGAGTTCCACTAAAAGCTCTATATAAAAAATGAGAACTTGTGCGAATCTATCAGCGCAGGTAATGCAATTTCAATCATCTTTGTAATAAAATATCGCAATAAATGTAAATTCTTTCGGTAATTATCCTTATTAAAAAACAATTTTTATTGTTTTCCCTCGTAGCATATGCCTCACAGCTATTTAAAAATGCATTCCGATGGCGAGCGTAAATTTTTTTGCACGCACGAAAACGAGTCTCCTCTATAATTAACGCGTCGAACCTTATTCTATTCTTAACGCTATTCCACCGAAGAAAAGATAAAGCTGAGGGGTTTACCGAGGGCCTGTTTTATTTATATAATCTACTGCGTTCAACTATATTTATATGTATGCCGGGAAAGCCGTCGACTTGAACTCATCACGAATGAATAGACTGGAAGACACTCGAGATACGCAATTCGCAAAAATCGAATTTGTATAAGATATATATACGAGACGTTTGAAAAAGAATAAGAAAATCATTGTCGCGAAATTACTTTTAAAATAAGGAGAAACGTATTGATCTTTTTTGTAGCCTCGTATTTAAAATTTAAACAATTTTTAAATATTAAGGCCAATTTCTGATATCGAAAATTGATTGTTTAATTAAGTAGAAATAAGTTTCTCACAATTAATTTTAATTTAACTAGTTTTTAAAGCTTCTCGTTATTGCATAATTCTTCCCATGCATTTGCATAAAAGAATTGCACTACTTTCAGTCAGTCAGGAATAAATATAGCTGGTTCTTTTTACTCCTTTCGATCGTTATTCGGAAAACTGGGGGCAGAAGGAATTTATGACGTGGAAATTACGTTTATGCGACTCATTTATTATGATTCCTTAATTCGTAGAAAATAATAATGACAATGTACATTTCTATATATCTTCCGCTCAACAAAGAAATAGTAATATATAATTACAATGTACGCGCCGCGCGCGAGTCTTCTACGAGAAAAAAAAAGAAATTCATCCCTTTCCTTCTTCGCCGGGCGGCTCCGTCGGGAGGACAAGCAAATATCGTCCTTCTCGTCGCAACGTCGTACACGAAATTCACCTATAACAATTGATCGTTTAGTGTCTCGCGCGGGGGGTGTGATTACGACGATTTTTTCTTACACACTCTCACGAACGATTAATCGAAATGTAACATCATTCTCCTAATGGCAGTGAGACAAAAATTCTGCCGATAACAAAGAGGGAAAAATATTGCGCGACAGGCTAAAAAAAAATGAGGAGCGCCTTTTCGCGCTTCGAACAATTTCCTTCTTATGTATCCCAGATATCGCTTTCTTTTCACCATTCCATTCTAATAAAGCGCTTCGAAAGACGACGATCGCACAGCGATTCATTATACAATCACTCGTTAGCATACAGATCGCAAAAAGAAAATATGTGAAGAGGAAAGATGGTCGAGTGATGGTCTTCCTTCGCTCGCACGTTTATTCGTACGGAATATCTTGAAATAGGCCGCTACGATCATGTAACGTTGACGGAGGATTTTACGTTTTTATACATTAATGTGATTACGCGGTAAATTGTGCCGAGCGAACAGTGCTCGTGTAATTGGATCAAAATACGTTGCGCTTATCAAACAATTATATATGTTTATAAATGGTACCAATATTACGTATTCTCAACACCTTCATTCTCCTGAATTATTTTGAAATCCTAAAAATAGTATCTTATTCTACGATTAATTAACATGATAAAAATTGAATTCATACGATACAAATGGTTTATTTCTTCAAAGAAGTTTTAATTGAGAAGTTTTAATCAAGATTTATATATAAGGCTGCATATACATATATTTCTTTCCATTCGTTATCAAATTGATGAAATTTGATTCTTAATTACATTCAATCACTTGCTAATTATTAATTAGCTGGTTACATTTCTCGCATTAGTAATATCATTATTAATTGTTGTTAATACTGCTCACTTCAAAATATCTTCCATCTAGCTTTTCTTTCTAGTTTAAACAGAGATAAGTAATTAGCTAACAGATAATTATAAAGCTGTCAAAAATTAAAGCTGTCAATGCAATCGATCTCATAAATATTTCCACTTAACAAAACATCTTAGTAAAAAAAAAAAGCTTAGCGAAAAAAAACGAATATATACTTTTCCGAAAATTTAGTTTCTTAAGATTTACTTTTTCAATATATTATATAAGAAAAATAATATTTACATTTTTCTTTGTATATATAGTTTTCTCTAAAGAGTTAAGTTGTTTGAAAATTTAGCGAAATTGTGAATAAGAGTTGGGACAAATTTATATAACTAATATTAACATTTGCCATACAGAAAAATCATAGATAAGCCATTGATCTATCGATATCGATATGCAACGAACATTACGCGAACAATATAGATATACACATGTCCTATATCAAAAAAGTAAGATTTTTAATTAATTACAATAAATAATTAGTGTGCAAACAATCTTCTAACTTTGCGTGCCTAGTATTGCATTTTGACTGCTTCTTCCCCTAAAAAAAAAACAAAAAACCCGTGTACACTATTTTACTCTCACTTGCAGTATTACATTTTATCATTATACATAATATAAAATTGTATCTTGCGATTCTTTGTTCATTTGTATATGAAACAAGAAATTTTTTTTTTTATTTCTTGTGGTAGCTAAAAGACAATCGACGTTAGACGATGTGTAACGGCCCATTTGTTAAAGTCAGAATTTTAAGTAAATCTTGTACAATGAACAAACATCACGTGCGTATTTCACGCAACTTTTATCTCATCCGAAATTCCTTTCAAACTTGTGCGATATCACATTTGAGATTTTGAAATTTTCGATGATTTCTACAATAACTGATCCCTCTTAACGATATGAGAAAAAAATACTACATTGGAAACGAAGTAATATCGTTTAACAATTTTATTAAATTCATAGAAATCAGTCTTGATTAAATTAGCATTGAAAGAGATATATAAATTTCCTTGCTTAAAAAGCAGTATTACTTCCTTTCCAACTTGATAAAAACAAGATTTATTCTACAATTTTTTTTCGATATTGGATTAGCAATATCCGATAGTTTATATAATTATAGAACAAAACTGCACTGCAATCTAATATCGAAAAAATTTCGAATGCCATGAATTTCACTAAAAATGTGTTCCTTCTACACCTCTCATGTATCATTCTCGTTGGCAAAAAAAAAGCAATGCAATGAACAGATGAATCATGGTGTTTCCATATACATAAAAAACCTATTTCTTCCCACATGGGGTTTCGTCTACTATGTGAACATTTGAATTTTATTGGCGTGTTTAATATATATGACGAAAATCAAGATATCGAGTGAAATCCTCTCTCTTATAATACTTCGTTACTACTGTGTCGGTTGTATTCCGTATACAATGGTATATGCAATGTGACATCAGCCTGCGACGTATCGAGTCGCATCGAAAGACATTGTAATACACCGAAATACAGAATACGGTAATAAACTCCTTATCGTATATTATATATATATATATATATATGTATATATATATAAGCAATATTTACAAGGTTCTCCTCATGATATTTTTAATTCTTCGTTCGAGAATAGCGATTATAATATAGCGCTAACTAATATTTAGCTAGATTAATCAGTTTATTATTATACATAGTATAGGTATAGGGATCCTCTTCCTTCGTCCTTCTTCATTCCGGAATATCAGACGGAAAGCAGCAAGTAATAGATTTTTTCCTTCGAAAACGATTCCAATGAGGTTTAAGTCGTAGAATTTCGTTCGACTATACTCATCTTGCGAAGTATGAGATCGATACAATTTCTTGCATATAGTAGTTCGCCAGGAAATGGCTAATCGAAGGAAAAGAATGCGGAAAAAGAAAAAGAAGGCTTCTTTGGAGATCGTACACGATCCGATCATTTCCTACTTCATTAAAGATAGAAAATTTCGAAAAATATGCCGAATCCGTTCGATTCGAATCGATTAAATGAATAAGTAGAATTTTTAATACACTAGAGCTTTCACAAACGATTAATCTCTTCTATAGAGCTGTACGACGATTGAATAAATATTCACATTTTTCTCATTCGAATGCCGCATTTAACTCTATACGGGAAAAACTTGTACATGCAACCTAAAAATTCTTCCATCTACGCTTTTTTCCGCTTAGACATCTCGATAGGCCCTCAGAGATTCGTTGTTACAAGAATAAGATATACATTACTAGAAGATTTAAATAATGAAGACTACAAGAGAGATAGAAGGAGAGAAAGGTGAAAGAGATGAATGAGAATGAGAGAGAGAGAAAGAGAGAGAGAGGAAGGAAATGTGGTAATGCTAATTCTAATTCTAACCAAGTCTAGAGAAAAGTATCTTCAAGTTCGATATCGCTGTCACGTGTCGTAGGACGAGGAGGCCTATAATTTCCTAGATTATTCTTTTTAACCTTTAGAGGACCGCCAGACATTGTAAATGTCTCGAAATAAGCTATACATTAAACATATATTGAATTGTTTGGAAAGTTGTGTAGATTTTCCAATTTTATTTTCACAGAAAAAAAATCTTGAAAAAAAATCAATTCAATATCGTTCTCTGTGGCGAAATTTTTATCGTTTAAAAACATCCTTGCCGCCCTCTAAAGATTAATTATATTTAAAAAGATAGTCTGTCGTAATGAAAAATTGATATTAACACGCGCATCATGACGGGAATGGAGGGAGGGGATGTCGAAGGAGGTCTGGAAAAACGAGGAATTATAGCTGTTAAGAGTGCGTTAGATCGATAGTGCGTGTCTCGTTGCCGAGAATCAAGCGTAATCTCTTCATGGGCGGCGGTGGCGGATCGAGGTTCAGCTCGCGCGATTTCTTATGCCGTCTCTCGCGATCTCTACTCTTGTGCTTCTTCCGGCGTTTGCGCCTCTCCAAGCCTTCGACGCGCAGCACCTCGTACTCCGGCTCGTAACTGTCTTCGCTCAGTCCGCTTGTGCCGGATTCGGCAATGTCCTCGAGCACCGGCGACCGCTTCATGCGCAGCGTCAGCTTCAATCGGCCGGTCCTCTCCGGCGTGACGGGGCAAACGCGACAATCGCTCGAATTGCTCGTTTGCCATTGGCACTCGGATGGGGTCGAGCTGGACTTTCGTGTGCTGCCACTATTATCATAGGCTGTTAATCTGAAACAAAATTCTTCTGATTTAGCGATCTAATTTTCGAGCAAAATTTTATTTCACAAATTTTAGAAATGATAAATCTGTTATACTTGCTCATGTTTCTCTCGAATAATGGAAATAAAATTTGGATGCAGTAAAAAACATAGCAATGTAGAGAAAACAAGTAAAGAAAAAAATATGTGATGCGTTCGTTATATATTTACCTTTGCAAACTCTCGTCACAGTTCTCTGCCGATTGAACACCGCTACTGGAGTCCGTGCTGTGTTCGTTCTGAGTCCCCGGATCGGCCGGAGGCCACGGTTCCTCCCGAATCAGTACCGGTGGCTCGGCTTTATTGTACTCGTCATTGCACTGCATTTCCTGCACCGGCGACGCAGTAACGGACGACGACGCGTTACGAGATTCGTGCTTGCCGCGTCTTATTATGGACAGTATGCCAATGTCCTCCAAGTTGCTCTCCTTCTCGTTAAACTCATAGATATCGCCCTGGATGCCCGAATCGTCGTCGGCCTCTCCTATATCGGCCGTCGCCGATCTCTGCCGGTCTCTCCTCTGACTTCTGGTCGATTTATTTTTACTCTTTCCCGTTTTATGACTCTTCGTACCCCCGCTGTCATTCTCATCGCCCTCCGTCAATATCCCGTATTTGGACTTGGATTTACCGCTCGAAAGTCTCTTCTGCGACTTGCGAGACGACTTCGAAGACGCATCCAGTGCATGATCTTTCCGTCTGGACGATTTCTTCATCAACGCGTGATCGTGACCGTCTTCTACATTTCTATGGCCGGTTAAATCGCTATTGTAATTCGCAGTCTGTATATTATGAAAGTTCGCCACACCACTTTCCTCGGTAACGTCTACTCTGGAGTCCATCTCCATCGCGTGTAACGCGGAAACTTCAGATTTGGCGTCGAACCTGACGTTTGCGACAAACGTATCACTTTTCATCACGACGCTCTCCTCCTCTTCTTCCCGATGCGCAACCATGCTATTATGCCACTCTAGAACATCCTCGGTACTAATTTTTGTCTCTACTACTCCTTCGGAGTTTAAATCACAATATTCGACACTGTCCAGGCGATTTGTCGTCGCATCGGCCGCAATCGAATTCTCGCAGCCTTCACTCTCCACTTCTTTCTCCTCGTCATACTTTTCCATCGTCATTACATTTGCCGAGTTTATGTCGCAATATTCGTCGTCCGACCGAGAGCTCGTCTCGTGCGAGGCGTCATCCTCTCGGTAATCAGCCTGCCGCAAATCTTTCTTCTCTTCGATCAGCGAGGGCGAATCGTCGTCCTCAAACTCGCCAGACGAGTCCTCGTCTGGCTCTTTGCGATCATCTCGCTCGTCCATCGACGTGAAACGTTTGCCGTTAGACTTGGAACGTTTGTTAACACAATTCGCCTGCTCGACCGTATCGCAGGGATCATTCTCGTTTTCCTTATTTCGCATGGGCGACGAAGAATGATGATAGTCTCTCGATCGACAAATGTCCTTGGAAATCGATTCTGCGGTATGTAAGCGTTGTATGTGGACTTGAGATGTGGAACTTAATCGGATTGAATCACAGGCATTTGTACTATAATGTCCTTTTTTGTAATTGGAAGAATTAACGTTATCTACTGCTTTAAGTTCGACTTCCGCGGTGAGATCCGGTATTCCCCGTTCCTCTTCCGCCGAATCACCATTATTGTTCGACTCGCTGATATCGTCCACTTCCATCAACCGCAGCGGACAGCTGTTTTCCATCGAGGACTCTTCCGTCACAGCAGGCCGTTGCGATCCACAAAAACCGCGATTCACCTGCGACGCCAGCGACGAATGATGCTTCTGCAATCGCGAGTACAGGCTTTCTTCGTGCACCGGCACTCTGTCGGAATCCTCTTTTCGATGACTGATATCCATCATTTCCGTGTCCTTTACGATAGGACAAGGTGACGCGGATTTCACACCGATCTTTCCTTTCTTTGATTCCGTTCTCTTGTAAAGCCTGAAAAAATTGAACATTAAATTAAGATTAAGCATAACAGCAAAACATTTAATAGTCGGAAGACAAGCTGGAGTCGCCAGAGCATTTTTGACAAAATTAATCAAAAATATTCTTTAGAAGTGTACAAAAATTTATAAACGGATTATTAAAATTACGGATTTTACAGAATAAGTTTTTACAATGTTTAGTGCGCTCCTCAATTAATCACAACACAAAGGAGTTGAATAACCTACCTAGATGATCTGAGCGACTGAGTATTCTTGATGGTGCCTCCGTCGCCGATATTGCCGTCGAATTTACACATCTGCTTATTCCGCAAATTTCTAGTGACGGAGGTGGTGATCGCGGAGGGATGCGGTCGTGTCTGCAACACGTTCTCGCCATTATTGATCGCCGGCTGCTGCTGATTGATATCCGAGAAGCGGCAACCCTGGGCGATCAGTAGCTCGGCGTCGTACTTGGTGAGCCCTTTGCGACGCAGCTCCTTCATGCTAAGAGATTGCGGCGCAACCGCTGCGTTTCCGACGAGAACTGCGTTCCGCTCGGTGAGAGCAGTGTCGGCTTGCTGCTTGTTTCTGTTCAACGGCTGCTGTCGATGTTTTGTTCGATTGATTCGATTATCCGTTTCCCTCAAACGATATCCTAAAAAATAATTAACGATAAATCTTGACTCATAATTTGTTGCTCCAAATTTCGCGTTTGAAATACCAGATGACATTTCCTCGCCCGGCTTTTGACTCGCAAATGCGCCAGTTCCTCGCCTTTCACAAGTTTCACACTCGCAGTAACAATTCCCATCACCAAAGAAATCCTCTCCGTAGAAGCATGTGATTTCTTCGCCTACTTCGATGTCGCGTAACACTTTGACACATGCTGTGTCTCTTCCCGTCGCCACAAACTGTATTGCGAAATTAATATTCTCACGTTTAATAAATAACTCATTTTGATCGTCGCATTCAACATTAATACCGACCTTGCAATTCGCTCTACAGTCATGATTTATATATGCAGCAGGTCCTAACCACAATTGGGCGCAGTTCTTTCGACAACTAAACATCACAGAGAAGTCATTTTTCCCAGGATGCAATAACGCAGCTTCTTCCTAAAAGGATATATAATATTAAATAAAAATAAGGAAAACTGTGTGATAAAAATTAAACGAAAGGAAGACGAACATTCTTCCAATATTTTTTTTGTATAACACTCAAGCACACCTTTTCACTAAGCTCCGCTATGCAACCGACGAGGCAGGAAATTTTCTCGTGTTTCATCCATTTTCGGGTGGCACATATCTTAGCACCCTTTTGTCCCTCCAAACTGTATCTGTAGCATGGTTCTATCGCAAATCCAGAATCCTTATCGAAAACTCGCAAGTATCGTTTGATCTGTGAAATAAAATAAATTATTAAACACAATATCTAAAAATTTGTATAATAAGGTCTTCGTAACTAACCTAAGTAAGCAAGTTAATTAAATTAAGACAGCAAACAAGTTAAATATACATATATTTATAACTTACGTGATTTTCCAAATTGATTTGTTGTTGTTTAGATTTAGTATGGGGAAGCCGCGCGCCCCAATCTCCACCCATCAATTTTTTGTATGCTTTTTCATAATTTTGAGTTTGAATAAATTCACAGATAATTTTTCGCAGTTCATCCTTATTTGCCTTTAACGGTCTGTATCTATTGAGTAAAATAAAATAAAAACAATTTTGCAGATACAAGTTGTAACTACGTAAATTGATTGATTCGAATAGCTTTAATAATACCTAATATTCATTTTATGTGTAGTAAAGCCTAGGTAAGGATCTAATACGAGGGACGTGGCCAAGTCGTCATTGTCGGAGAGTTCTTTGGGTGTCATTCCACATCCTCCACCACTGTTTGGTTGCATCTTTGTGCTAACCGTGCCACCCAACCTTCGCTCCTGCTTTCTTACTGCAGTTGCTGAGGCCTGAATCGACAAGCAGTCCACCACCATTCTGTGACACTGACTTTCACTGAAAATGTAAAAAAGAAAAAATATTGTAAAAAAACAACTTGTTTCACCATTAATAAATTATTAATTTCTTTGAATGATATATAGGTTAAAATATGAGAGGTTAATGTACTCTAATTGCAGTAACAGAACAATACATTCTATTGAAATATCGGGTTGGATGATACATATTGTATTACTATTGTTCCACTTAACGTCCTCGAGTAATTAAATTGCAAAAATATTATACTTCTCATTATACTCAATTATGAATCAAGTCTGTTAAAAATTTTTTCAAATCAACGTAATGAACAAAGCACATGATTTAAATGTTATTGAATATTGAACATGTAGTGTTGTTTAATTCTTAATTGAAGGTTCTGTCTAATAAAAAGAAAGATTTTCAAGATTTTTGTGCAAATATTATTCCATAAAGAAGTGTTACACTGCTTGATAATATCGCGAGCTTCTTCCAATATAACCTCAGCTGTGACTGAAGTGTCAAACATTACAGCAGAACTGCTCTGTTGGAAAAAATTTCACTGAATCTTAAGCACACATGTTCAATTATCTCCGCAACGTTATTACATTCCATGTTTCCTTCAAGAATATTCCCGAATGAAATAATTGCACAAGCGAGCTCTCGCACTACCGAACCTGCACCTGAGGACGAACCAAACCCATCGAACGAGCCACTTGTCAAAGGAAAGAGAGACGATCGCGCTGCGTGCGAGATCTATTCACCGAGTTCATCGGTGCACGCCGTCTCTCGAACGATCCCGTGGGACGCGACGAGCAGCGTCGCTCCGCAATCGGAGCGTTGCCGAGAGCCTGTCTCCCTCGAAAGTCAGCGCCACGGAAAGGACGAGTCTCGTCAGATCTCGTTGTATCGACCGGAACACGGTCGCCGCGGCGGCCTATAGGCGCGCGTCGACATAACGGTCCTCTCTCGCTACAGAGGACAACTCGGCGTCTCGTCGTCGCTGTTCCGAGCGTTCTGAGGGCGACGACGACGAACGCGTACGCGAACGGCCCTCCCTAATGGCGGGGGAGGGGGGGACGAAGAGGTAGGTAGGCAGGCAGGCAGGCAGGCAGGCAGACAGACAGGCAGGCGATGCGCGATGTTTCAATGAGTGGTGGACACAGGTTTCCGTCGCAGGGTGCCGCCGGCGTCGCCTCCTCGACGGGGACGCCGACGCGAGGCGTTGTTACTTACCGCGATGATGCTCTCCCGAGAACGGACCTCTCGCATTTTGCGGTCGGTCGGAGCTTCTAAAACCTAGAACAGCACAGCAACGTGCCACTCGTGTCGCGGCGGAGACGCGTTCGCGGTAGCTATCATGGCAGGTGCATCCGATTGGGAAAAATCACGGCGAAAGACACGGCGCGAGTGCGATGCGACGCGACTCCACAACGCACACTTTCCCCTCGCTTAGCCTGCGTGCGTACGCTACGTGCAGTAATCCCGTACGTGCCTTCTCACGATTCGGCGACGACGAACGGCGACGGAGCCGTCGGCCCGCGTCCCCGGGCGCCGCGCTCTCGGTCTCGCTTCCGCTTCCTCGTGCGACGAGACGAACGGGACGGAGTGAGAACCGACGACGACGGATAGTCGGAATATCAGTCTCGACCGCGGGGCGAATTCATGTTTTGGTATGTCGCACAACGTCGTCGCGCACGTCCTGTCTTAGGCATATGTCTCTCGCCAGAACGGGCGCTGACTTCCGGCTTAGTGATTTTCGCGTCGCGACGCCCGCTACGTCGCGCTCATCGTCACTTGACATTAAGACGATATTTAAAAATTCGAATACATATATGTAATTAAGACAATTCAATGATAATTCCGCGGCCGCGGAATCGTTCGCATCGCGCAGTCTAGTAGAGACAGATTTTTTTCCTAGTGACTTGCGCGCGGCCGAATGCGTTTCCATGGCGACCCGCTCGAAATCCTTAGGCGTCTTTTCGTAACTCAGCATCGAAATATATATATTTTATGTATTCTTGTTACGTCTTTTCTCTTTACAAAATAAAATACATCAAAGATTTATGCTCTCTAAATATAAAACTGAAGCATGAAGTATGAAAGTGGAGTATCTTTTATGAAGGAGCTTTAAAATTTCTTGAGCCAATCCTGATCGTTGACTATATATACATAATGGAGGATTCACATTGCATCCAGAGTCCAAAGTGTGTACTGAAAAAGACATTTTTCTATTGGACATCGAGATGTCATAAATTGGATGTAATGTAAATTCTCCATTACTTTATGATTTTCCTGATTTTTCCCGATTAGCTACTACAATGTCAATGGCCGTAACATCTGGATATATACGTTCTTACGAACATGCAATCGTCAGTATCGCTCGTTTGCGCGCGACGATCGTTGGAAGTTGTGTTTGTTCGATTGAAACGCACGTGGTTGCGTCAAACTTTTTTTCTGTGAACAAACGCATACCACGATGACAACGGAAAGCGTGGTCGGACCTATTAGAGCGGAAGGGCATCAAGTGCATAAAGAAAATAACCATTCTACGGGAAATATCAAGGCTGGCGTAATCGATTTCGTGGCCGGCTCGCTTGGTAATGACTAGTAATCGTGCGATATCTTTCTGTTTACTTACAAATACTTGTATTGGGAACGCTAGGATGTATGATAAACGTCAAAGTCACGTGCGCGACGGACACTGATGCAAGTGTGAAACGGAAATTACCGTAACATGGGGTGCGTTTGTATCGAACAATGGAATTTTAGCGCTTGCATATTCGCGACGTATTGCAAAATTGTATCTAAGCTCGTGATATTGTACAGAATAACATCATAACAATTTTTTCTTAAGCAGACTGCAATGTCAAAATAATTATAGAATAAGATTGCAATGTCAAAATAATTATAGAATATATAAAAATAGAAATAAATTAGAAAAATAGAAAACTAAAAACAACGAGCCTTGTTGAGCAAAAATATAAGAAGACAATCGAGGCCTTTACTCAAACCTGCTTTCATTTTCTATTATATAAAATAGATTTTAAAATTGTTACAAATAATAGTGTCTAGAGCGGACTTTAATTTATAATAGATTTAACACGGAAAATAACGTTTTGGGATTACCAATCTCGCAACGTTATCTATTTGTAAATAACTTGTTGATAAAACCAGCTACATCTAACTGATAATCAATTTAACCGACGCGAAATCGATGTTTTTACGTCACAAGACTGAAAAAATATCTTTCCTTAAGAAAATTGTGCATCTCGCGTCTGCGGCGTTTTACTGTTCGTGAATCATGACACGAGTTATCAAAGTTGCTAATAAAGCACATTTTTCTTTGACGATAGACTGATAAAATCCTTTAAAAAATTAGTTTTGTATTAAATAATCATCTAGAAGTTGTGAACAAACTTGGGATTTAGATTTTGATAACGTTTTAAAAGTATTCTTAATAGAAAAAGATTTTCTATCATATTTTTTTGAAAACTAAATGTTTGAAATGAATGCAACATATTATTAATAATTATCAAAAAATGGTTTGCAATGTTCTTGAAGAACATTGCAAACTCCTATGAATTTTCACAAAATGAGCAACGATATTTTATCATTTAACAGGCGGTGCAGCCCTCGTCTATGTGGGCCAACCGCTGGATACCGTGAAGGTAAAGATGCAAACATTTCCGTCTATGTATAAAAGTATGATGAATTGTTTCCTGCGTACATTAAGGACGGATGGTATCGTGAGGGGTTTGTATGCCGGAACAATGCCGGCGGTCGTCGCCAACGTTGCTGAGAATTCTGTATTGTTTGCTGCATACGGCGGATGCCAGAAAGCAATCGCTCATGTATCAGGTACAACGTAAATTAATGAGTTAGAATTAATGTGCGATTTTACAAAGAATTTTAAACGTTATACATATCCAAAATGTTGTATACAAATCCAGAAAATTAAATAGCTACTCTTTTAAAAAGCAATACTTAATTTTTTAGTATTTTTACAGGTGTACAGAACGTGAAAGAACTCAGCTCCTTCAGCAACGCCTGGGCCGGTTTCTTCGCCGCGTTCTTCTCCTCGCTGACGCTGTGCCCAACCGAACTGATAAAGTGCAAGCTGCAAGCGATGAGAGAGGTCGAGCAGATGCGGATCGCAATGGGCAAATCTACGGTGAATAGCGCCCGATAACGGCGGTAAAACGTTTGGGTGGCAGTTTTTAGTGACCGGATCGTTATTCTTCAGAAACCTCGCGTAGGACCGTGGAATTTGACGAAACAGATTCTTAGGCAGCACGGTGTAAGAGGCCTGTTTCCAGGTCTCTCGTCGACAATAGCTCGTGAAATGCCGGGCTATTTCTTTTTCTTCGGTGGATACGAGACCACAAGAGAGCTGCTAGCAGCAGAGGGTCAAAGCAGAGACGACATCGGTTGGCACAAGATGATGGTAGCCGGAGGAGTCGGTGGCGTATTGTTTTGGCTAGTGATATTTCCCGCCGACGTGGTTAAGAGTAGAATACAGGTTTGTTCGCTCCTATCAATCTCCTTTAAATGGTTTCATTACTAAAAAGATGCATAACGGTAATATTATGTAACATAAGCCATAATCGAAAAGTCTAATGCAAAAATATACGTCTGTATATATTTTGATATTCTCGTTTTCCGTAGTAAAACATATTTTCTGTTTGAATCAGGTACAAAACTTAAGAACACCCGCGTTGATAGTTTTCAAGGATATTGCGAAGAAAGAAGGATTTGGCGCGTTTTACAGTGGATTGATACCGACTCTAATAAGAACGATACCAGCGACTGCAACGTTGTTCGTCACCGTTGAATACTCAAAGAAATTTATGTACAATTATTTCTAAAACAGACTAGTTTTCCTATACTTATATGGGCTTTTTGATGTCATATAAGTAATGTAGTTTTAAATAGCGAAATTGCATGCAACACAAATTTACCGCCTACATTTGTAAATATACAAGAATAATGTATGTGATGATAATAATGCATGGCAAGAAATTTAGTTGTAAAATATTTTCATAAATAAAAATGTTTTTCACTTTTTATCCTGAAATATAATCAAGTCATTTAAAAAAATTAGTAAATTATGAGAGTCAAACAAAGAGATATATATCTTAATAATTTTTTAAGTAACGATGTATTTCAAAAAACTTTAGTAAGTAGTAATATATAATAAATTTATCTGTTCTAATTATTTATATATATATATATATATATAT